AGAACCTGCCCCACTGCGGCACTGGAAGTTCTCATGGAACTCACACCGCTACACTGCGTAGTAGAGTTACAGCGAAAGGCCACCCTACTAAGAATCACTTCTTGTGGGAATGGCAGTGACCGCATCCTTAGTTCTAGGGATGCAGCAAAACTACTAGTCGAACTTCCCCTGAGCTCACACCCCAGGGACGAAATGACAGTAGAATTCATCTTTGAAAAGAATTTCTCTGCTCATCTGAGCAACAAGAAAGATTGGACCACCATGAAGGAAGTACACTCCATGGCGAGTCACACTATAGCATGGTATACGGACGGGTCTTTAACACACCAAGGCACTGGCCTTGGAGTAGTAGGACCACGAATTAAATACCATGAATCGTTAGGCCAATACACCAGCATATTCCAAGCTGAAGTTTGCGCCATAGGACGGTGTGCAGAGCTCAATATGAAGCGTGGGTACACAAACAAGGACATTGCGATCCTCTCGGACAGTCGAGCGGCAATTACTGCACTATGCAGCAATAGAATCACTTCGAAGCTGGTACGAGAAGTAAGGACAAAGCTGAACCTTCTGGGCAGCAACAACAGGCTGTCATTAAGATGGATTCCAGGACACAAAGACATATCCGGGAATGAACTAGCCGACAGGCTAGCAAAACTAGGGGCGGAAAGACCCCTTATAGGACCCGAGCCTTACTGTGGCATAGGCAGACACACAGTCAAAGATTACCTAAGAACAGAAGAGGTACATATGAGGCAAGCCTGCTGGGTAGACACCACAGGCCAAAGACAAGCCAAAACCCTCATCGTCAATTATGACATGAAGAGGTTTAAGAAACTTATACTACTAGGGAAGAGATCACTTAGGATAGTTACCGGCTTACTAACCGGACACTGTAAACTAAGGAGACACCTATTTAATATAGGGATTACAAACAGGAAAACATGCAGATTCTGTGATAACGAGGACGAAACCTCAATACACATAATATCAGATTGTCCAGCACTAAGTAGCCTGAGGAGCAGAACCCTCGGGTCCAGGTTCCTTACACTTGGGACCTCTGGAAGCATCGACCCGATAAAGCTCCTTAACCTTATCGAAGGAGCCGGGTTGATGGGTGAGCTCTAAGCTCAGATAGGGGGTACAGAAGATCCAGTTGGGTCGAGGTAACCTTTTCCCCCCTAATAATAATAATAATAATAATGATTTAATATCTGAAATTTAAAAAGATCTTATGAACCGAACTTAAGTCCATCAATAAATGTATATTTTTTACTTATATTTATGTGTAATAAACGAGTTAGAACTCTACATATTTGAAAATCAACCTTTAACATACAAAATCGCTTTCTGGTGAACAACATTGTGCAACTGCGTTTCGATTTTCTCGTGTCGCTGCACACTTTATCAGACCCTGCCAATGCCATTTTCCTTGGAGCTCCCGGCTGTGTGCTCTTTCTATTATAAATAACAAATCCCTAAATACACCACTCAAAATTCAATTAAAACTCTCGAAGCGCCGGCAGATTTCGTAAGCCCCACAGCCACAAATCCATAGGGGAGTCGAGTGTCGGGTGCTGGGAATATGATGTTGTTGCCTGGGGAGAATAACGAAAATCTCCTTTTCTGTATCTCGCCCCCCAAAAACAATTCACGAAGACAACAACCATTGAGTGGTTTTCCATTTTTTATTTTTGTTTTTTTTTTTTTATTTATTTTGTTTCATTTTTTTAGGGCAAATATTTATGAACTGTTTGTGAGAGGCTGTCTGAAAAGCTGCCTATGCTTGGCAATAAAAATTGGCCATTGGGCAGCAACGACGACCGGCACTTAGCATAAATTCAAACAATCATTTTCCCTGCTTATCGCCAGTAGACAGAGCTTATTGCCAATAAAGCAAATTAAAATGGAGACAACAAAATAGCACCAGGTTAAGTTTACGGCGGCCAGAGCTCAAACTTTACTCATTTCTTCTACCCGAATCGGGGCAAATTGCCAAGCTGCAGTAGTGCTTATGCGAAGCGAAAAAGGAGTTTCGGGGTAAGTTTTCCAAAAGCTATGTATTTCGGGTCCGAACGTTGCACATGTCTGCAGCGGCACACAAATGTCATTAGGGGAGGCCGCAAGCAAAAGAAAACTTGTGGTTCATATGGAGATGGAATCGTGACAACATTAAATGTTATAGCTTCTTTAAATTTAAAATAAATGAAATACAAAATTTACAAGATTATCTTTGGTTCAATGGGAAATAAATGAACTTAATTTGAAATAAATAGAAAGTACTCAAAGCTAATACATGGTAGTTAGTTTATGTTACAAAAGAAAAAGAAAAACCAAAGTCTTGAATTTTTCAACTAATTGCAATAATAAGTTGATTTCTGTTTATTAGTTTGCTTCTTTAGATTTGTGTTTCTTTTTTTTCTGAAATCTAATAATTCCCAGCTAGATTTTTTATTTAAATTTTTTAATAGTTCCTGACTAGATGGTTGCAAAATTCCAATCATTTCGAGCCGCTTGTTTACCACTGGATGCCATCGCTAACGATTGGCTTGTCCTGTTGGCCAGTTGGCGACGTTGTTTGAGCCATTGCGGGCAGCTGTTTCCCCTGCTGGTTTTTTGTGGGCCTGTTAAGTATGCAGTTTTTCCCCCACAGGGGTCTTCTGGCCCCCCCGCAACCCCCTCAACCCCCCTCGCTCCGAGTGTGCGTGTTAAATGTGTGCGATTTGTCGTGGCAGCTCTTTAATGGCCAAGTGGGTGGACCGTTATGCTTATGGCTTTTTGCATGGCGGCACGTGTGGGGCATGCAGATGGTCGATGGTGGAGGGGGAGTGTGGTGGGTGGATTTCCGGGGTCCGTTCATTCGGTCCCTGGCCACCGCAAAACTAAAATTGAACAAATTCCTGACAAATTGGAATTTGGTTTAGTTTTTTTTCCTCCTACTTTCTCGGCCCTTTCTTGTGCCAGCGAAATTTCCTCGCATTTTTCTTGTTTTCCTTTTTGCAATTCTATTTTTTTTTTTTTTTTTGGTTAGCTCTCTGCTATTGTTTCTACAACATTGCCACGCAAGATTTCGCCTCGAATATGCGCTTGGCCATTATGATTATTTCTACATTGCCCGCTCGTCCTTTTGAAAAATGACAGTTTACAACACTTGTAATTTGTTCTGTTTTCGGGGTTTTTTTTGTCTAGTACGGTCAAACATCTACAAAAGCAGAAGTATTCAATGTTTTTTCTCCTTTTGGTTGGTCCTGCAGCTGTAAATTGTGATTTGTTGCCACTTTGAAACTATATAGAAAAATATGCAGAAGACTTGGTTTCCCTTTTTAATTACGAACAGAAACGTTTGATAATGAAAATAAAAGTAAATAAAATTAACACCTCTTTTTGTGATCTAATTATAATAACTAATTTTATTTAGAAACTGTTCGTGTTAATTTCCTGATAAACCAAAAAGTTGTTAAGGAAATAGGTTAAACTGCATTGCAATCATTATTGTTTGCAATCCAGGTGACCACAATTTAATCAGCGAGCAAACAATCGCTACTCAACGCCCAAAAACAAACCGCAAAAACCAAATGTTTATTATTTAGCATTCAAATTAAATGCATTATTTATAGATTTTGGATTATTACAAAAAGTCACTGCCGAAACATTCGCGAAGGGCTAATTTGAATTACATCAAATACTTAAAATCAGCGAACCCGAATCTAGTGTTTATTCATACAGTCTCCCAAATGGGAGGGAAATATTGTTGAATTATTGAAACGAATGCAAATTGCATTCCAGTCAACCGAAATGTTATGAGTTGCCAAAACCCTAATTGATTTAAAACTCATTTGTTGGTAATTAGAAGTATATTTTTTCAATAATATGGTAATTTATTTAAATCTAATTTTTTAACGAGTGTGGAGCTAATTTTAGAATGTGAAATCATTAAGCACATCAAATTAAAAGTGAATAATTAAGGTGAATTTTGCATATACCTACATATTTATATACATATACCTCTTGTAAGCCGTTACAAAGCCATCCGAATAACAAACATCTATAATTATCAATTTAATGTTCGCAGTGCAATGTTAATTTCAACATTTCTATCGCAGTCACGCTTTAAACGCTTTTGGAAATGGTTTTCGATTGACAGCAACCTCTCTCTCTCTGAATGTGCTCACACTTTATCAATTAAAAAACTATATTTAGTTGTTCTTGACCGCTCAACTTTGCCAAGTCGATCAATAAACCTTAATTAAATAAAAAATTACAAAAAAAGTGAAAAAAATAACTGAAGAAGTCGGTGCAAAGTGTCGGATATAGATGGGGCTTGGGTATATATATTTATATATATATAGATGGAGCAACACGTTGTGACCGTTATTATGAACAGACAAGGGGCATTATTAAGTCACGTAGCATCGTGTGTAGCTGACATTTTCTTCAATTATCGTACTTATAGTTTCCTTTCGCGTTTTGTTGACTACTTTTCGTACTATTCGACTTGACTTTTTCCCAGCACCCATCTTTTCTTTTTGCCGCCTTTCGGGTTAAATGAATTGTGGTTAAGATACGTGGTTAGGTCAACTTGATGAGTTCTTTGAAGTTGAGGTTCCCAGTTACATTAAAGGTTAGCTGTTTAAGTAGTCTTATGTTTTCTGGGGTTACTTTAAGATAGATTTATATTTCTACCCCATGCCCATTCATTTATGATTGTAAAAATATATCTAAAAAAATATTAAATATAATACATTGCATATACATAAGTATATTATTATCAGTATCACCTTTTTTAAATAAAAAACATTTTTTAAGTTTGTGGCTCTCGGCACTTTTCCATTATCACAACCCCAAATCGGACCAAGTTCAAGATTGAAAAATTAAGTATATTTTGAATCGATTGGCGACCATTAATAATTTAAACACGCACGGGTGATAAAGCAAGTAAACCATAAACAAAAACTGATTTCATGGATATTTTAGTCAGTGAGCGTTGTTTGCGTTGCGTGTGCGGATCGTCAGCGGATTAAAAAAGTGAAAAGTGAAACTTCTGGCAATTGAAAAGCAATCACTTCCAAATTCTAAAACACAAAACTTTGAAGTATTTTTCAAAATTCGAAGCAAGATGCTGTTCCAAACAGCCCGAATCGATCATTCGGCTGAGCAAAAATTTAAAATCAAACAACTTAGGCAGCTGGTGGAGAGTAAGCAAAAAAGAAAAGGGATACACCATAAAAAAAACATTTAAGTGGTAATTAATTCTAGGGTGCGAGGACCTGAGAGTGGGCACGGAGGACCCGCTGCTAACCAAATTCCTTCACTACACCCGTTGGGACACCAAAAAGGCCTACCAGGCGATCCATGCCTACTATGACTTCAAGAAACGCCACCCCACTTGGGTGGCCCGCCATCCCATCGAGCACTATCGCCAGCTCTTCTACGGCACCCACTGTCGCTATGTTATGCCCCAGGTGGATCGCCACGGAAGGGTTCTGGTGGTCTTCAAGACGGTGGACGGATTCCAGGAGTATCCGGACTACCTGCAGAGCCTCGTCGAGATGGACGACCTGATCTTTGAGTCGCTGCTGCTGTTGCCGCGAGTCCAGGAAAATGGCATCACGGTCATTTGCGATTTGCAAGGGTGGGTTGAACTGCATTCGATCATATAATATAAGAAATAAATTGTGTCCTTACACTTACTTCGTTTTATCAACAAATAGTTTGTTGTTTGCACGTTTTTTTTTACTTTTTATATATATTTACTGACTTTTATTTTGATTCTCTCGTTTTTATAAACCCCAGAACAAACCGGAATTTTCTGCGACAATTTTCGCCTGCCTTTATGAAGCTAGTAAATGAAAAAAACGGAGTCCTGCCTTTCAGTCAGCGCATCGTGCACATAATCCAAAGAGGTTTTCTTATGCACGTGACCTCCACGCTTTTTATGCCCTTTATGAACAAGGAGTTCAAAGAAAGGGTAAGCACTATTTTAGCTTACTATTATAAAAACTAAAAGCTTTTCTTTCAAGATCTTCACTCACGATGGGCGGCATCTCAGCAAATTGCGTGAAATGGTTGGCTTCGAAAGTCTGCCGGCGGAATATGGAGGTCCTGCCACAAATGTCCTGGATACGAATTTGATTTTCAATCATATAAGCCAAAATGCGGAGTACCTGGAGAAGCTGCAGACCTACGAAAAGCTATAGGATTATCATAAATTAAAATATTTAAGCTGAATTCTAAACATCATCCAAATACATATTCATATTTTTAAATTGAAATATAGTCTCCTTAAAATAACGGTTGATACTCATCAAGTTGGCAACGCGGTGTTTTGACAATCGATAAACGCATCATTGGGCGCCAAACTTTTTAGGGTGAACATAAAATCTTCAACGTTTTTGTGTCATCGCGTGAACGGTCATATTGTTGTGAAATTTTTGCGCCGGAATTTGGCTGAAGTTCAAAATATCTTATTTTATTGTAAATAAACTTTCTTAATGGCTTCTAATAAGGTAGGCTCACGTTAAACTAAATATTCTTATTATTTGACCATATTTCTCCAACCAGGAATGCCTTATTATCGTGCTCGATGTGCGCACTTGTGCCGCCGAAGCAATCAAATTGAAATCTGCAAAATGTGTTACCGAGATTTTAAAGGACAAAGTGAGTTATTTAGCTCTATTAAATCAAAATGTTTTACTGATAGAATTACTCACAGATCGTTTGCGATAAAAAGGACTACGTGTCCTTTGTCCTGGTGGGATGTGATGACAAGAAAGGGGAAGTCCGTCCGTTTGTGGTACCTTTCAATGATCCACAACTTTGCAATTGGAACCTCTTACTTGAATTCTTCAAATTCGTCAACAAAACAGCCTCTGAGGAAGGACAATGGTTGGATGGCCTTCAAGTGGCAATGCAAATGCAGGAAACCGCTTTGGCGTAGGTCCATTAGTTAATCTTTACACTCTTAAATCTTATAAATAACTCTTTGCAGTTTAAAGCCCGCCAGACGAAGAATTCTCCTGCTCTTCGATTTTAATGATTTCCCACAGGACTATACGGAATTCAACGATATCACGGACGCACTGCTTAAAGAGGAAATCGAGCTGATTGTGGGGTGAGCAGAACCATTTCATTCATTACTTATTATCACTATTAATTAATAAAAACACTTCTTAGAACCGACAACATATCATACATCGACAACGCCGAAACCAATCTGCCACAGGCCATTTTTAACTTCTCTCGGAAGTGCGGTCCCAATGAGCTGGAGAACCAAAAGCACGTTTTAAGCCTCATTCCGCGATGCAATGCCACGTTGTGCAACTTCAAAGAGGCTCTAAAAACCGCTTTTAAGGTGACAAACCGGCGACCATGGGTTTGGAACGCCAAGCTGCACATTGGCAGCAAGATTTTCATCAGCCTGCAGGGAATGATCGCCATGAAGAACCAGACACCCGTGAAGCTGGTAAAAACTTGGTCCGAAAACGATGAGACGGTGACCCGCGAAACAAAGCATTTCATCAAGGGAATGGAGGTGACTCCGCTGCCGGAGGATTTAATGACAGGTTACATGCTTGGCGGCACTCCGGTGCCCTATGATGATACCCTGCTGGAGCCAAAGGAACCACATCCAGCAGGACTTCATTTCTACGGGTTCATCAAGCGAAACGCTGTGCCGGATGAGTACTATTGCGGCGATTCCTTGTACTTGCTGGTTCACCAGAAGGGCAACAAAGCGGCCGCCAATAAATTGGATGCTCTAGTGCGAGCTCTCATCAGCTCGGATCGCGCCATTCTCTGCTGGAAAGTCTACAGCGCCAAGTTTAATAGGCCGCAAATGGTGGTGCTGCTGCCTCGCCTGGCGAACGATTCCCATCCGGCCACTTTGTACATGTTGGAGGTGTCCTACACGTCGCAGCATCATTTCTGGGACTTTCCCGCCCTGCGAACCCCCAAGACGGAGTGCAGCGAGGACCAACTGCAGGCCATTGACAATCTAATCGATAGCACCGATCTGGAGTGCTCCCTGAAGGACACACAGCAACCAAGGCCTTGGGCACAAATCGATCTGCTTCCCTTCGACGGTTTGCCAAGCATCTTTGAGCAGAACGTGATGGATGTGCTGGAATATAAGGTCATCCACAAAAAGGATAAGGATGATCCAATACTGAAGGAAAAGAATTTCGCGGATGTTTTCTGGCGAGTGCCAGAGCAACTGGAAGAGAAGTCCAAGCAGGCGGCGGCCAATGTGAAGAAGCTCTTTCCAATGCGCTTCAGTCGCGCCTGGCAAGAAAAGCAGTTGGCCAAGGAGCTGGCTGAGAATGGAGTGCCCGTCAAGGAAGAGCCAGCGGAGAAGGAAATTCCAATGCCATCGGATGGAGTGGGTTTGAGCAGTCCTGCTGAAGATTTCACCCGCGTCCTGGCAAGCGTTCGCTCTATTTCGAATGCCACGGAGCGGGATACCAAATTCCAGGCACTGGCTGCCGAAACCCGTGTGGTAATCCTCACCTTACTGGAGCGAAAAAAACCAAATAACGAACAACTGGCTGAGATTATCCAGATGTACCGACAGAGTTCTTTGGATTTTAACGCCTTTGTGGAGTACGATAAGTTTGCAGAGGAGTTGAAAAAAGTCACACTGGCCAAGAAACACAAAGGATTCTGGCAGAATGTCATGGTGGATAAACAATTGGGCCCTCTTGACCTCGGAGCACCCTTAATCGACGAAGATATTGTTCTTAACGCTTTCTATTCCATCGAAAATTGGCAGGAAGGTGAATCGGAGGGTCAGCAAGTGGAGGGTATGGAGATCTAACTTATACATTATCTTAAGAAAGTGTGTTACTTTCCACTGTGTAGTTATATCTAACTTTTAAGTGGAAATAAATTGTTATTCAATATAAATATTTGGGAGCATAGAAGACTTTATTTGGCGTAAATTTAGTACAGATTCGTGTTATTATAAAGTTTTTATTCAACCAGATCAACAAGAAATAAAAATTTAATTTTTTTTATATTACATATTCCAATTTTGTACAATTATTTATTTAATAGTTAAATCTCAGAAAGTAAAAATTTCAAAATTGAAAACCGTTAACAAATTGCTGTCAGTACAAAATCTGGTCACACCGCTTTGGCTCTAAATTGTTTTGCCATCTCTAAAATAAGGGCATTCTGACAATCAGCTGAGTCGTCGGCGTTTTAAAAAGCATTTTGTAAACAAATTTTATTATATTTGAGAAATTTTCAATTTAAATTGTCGGATTAGTGGTAAGGATTAACAATGGGTGTTTCGACGAACGAGTGGCTATATTGGTGTCGCCTGTGCGCTCGCGACGATGCCATTATCAAAGTTCGCGCGCAGGATGAAGATCTTGTGAGGATCATCAGCAAATGCTTCGATGTGGAGGTAAGTAACTTGATTTGCTGGTAATCCAAACTTCTGATATTCACATTCTACAACCAACAGATGACCCTCGAGGAGCCGGAACTTGGCAGCATGTTGTGCGAAGAGTGCTACTCGGTAATTGGCCAGCTAATCACATTCTCCGAAAGCGTCAATAAGGTACAAGCCGTTTTTGAACTGCTGCGCCACACGGAACCGCAGGACAATCTGGATGTCGATGACCTGCGGCGGGAATATGGGCTAACGGCTACCTGCAAGCAAGAAATGGAGTTTCTGGAGCTCAATTTTCAAGAGGACAAATGCTCTTCGGTTGAGGAGCAAGACTTATCCGACCATTCCATTACCCCGTCACCGAATCTTCAAGACAGGAGCCGCCCAAGGCATAAGTTAGCCGTAGAGACCAAGCGTGAGACCGAGGAGGTTTATACACCCATCCATTCCAATGCTTCATCGCCAGAAATTCAACCAAAGCGCGCTCGCAGAAAAGATAATCTCAATCAGCATGAATACCGTCTAGATGAGGAGGATATGCATGAAGAAGATGAGGTATTTAACCTGTCCGAGGGTGAAACCACTGAACTGCAGCCTGTTAAGCGAAAACGTGGAAGACCCAGGGGTTCTTTCAAGCGGCAGAAGCTAAATGATAGCAAGATTGTAACTCCACCGAAACGCATTGTTAAAAGACAACCAGCGAAAAATCTCACTACAGCCAGTGTACTAGAAGGAGTCTCCGAAAGTTATTGTCCCAGCAACGATTACAATTGCAAGGCGTGCAACGAGTCCTTTATGTCCTTCATGGCTCTGCGTAGGCACAAACATGACATGCACGGTGGTCCAAAAAAATTCGTTTGCGATTATTGTGGCAAAGCACTAAAGACGTTTACTTCGCTGGTGGAGCACCAACTGGTCCACACCGATGAGAAACCCTGCGTCTGTCCCGTTTGCAACGCCGGCTTCAAAAACAAAGCGAGACTGAGGGTGAGTAAAAAGATATATTGTAAACTAAATCCTTTAATTTATCTTTACTTTTTAGGTGCACAGCCAGACGCATGGAGAACCAAAGTTTGCATGCGAAATCTGCGGCAAAAGGCTACAGACCCGTGCGATTCTCAACAAGCACAAGTATGTGCACTCCGAGGAGCGGCGCTTCAAGTGCGAGGTCTGTGGCAGTGGCTGTAAGAATTCCACTGCCCTGAAGATCCACCTTCTTGGCCACACAGGTCTGAGGCCCTATGTTTGCAAATACTGCGGCAAGGCGTTCGCCAGCAACACCAATTGCCGCTCACACAAGTGGAAAAAGCATCCGAACGAGGTTTCCAAGGAAGATGAAAGCGAGTCCTCACGGGTTCCAGTGCCCACTTTGGAGGAACTGCGGGCCATGTGAGTAATTTTTGTACCTGTTGCGTTTAAAGTCCATTTATTTATTTTATATATATAAATAATAACTTAAATTTCTTATTTCAGAACGCACGAAATGGCGAAAACCAACAAGGAAGTTTAGAGCATGGATTTACATTTTATTTTAACTTTCATTTTCCCACACACCATTTAAATATATGTATGTTATCTGTAAAAATAAAGTAATACTTAAGAAACAATCGCTTATAAATTGTCTCCTTTTCCGAATTACACTTAAAGTTGTTTTTATTTTTTTATTATTAACATCCATTTATACTCAACCTCAATTAAATTCATATTTATTAGTTTTCCAATTAATGTTTCGTTTTAATTAAGTTCAAAGCACATTTACACTTTTGACGCACATTAGAATTAGGGAATAAATGGGTGGCCTATCGATTACTTATCAATAGTCTGTGTCACGATTCAATGATAAATTAGTGAGCGACGAAAAAAAGCGATTATAAAATAATTATAACAAGAGGAAAATGAAATGAATAAGGAACAATTAAAAATTAACGAATTAAGCAATGTGTGAGTGGGTATGTTGTGGGATAAAGATTTATATACGTTTTGATTTCGATGGTTTTGTATAATTATTTGTTTAGGTTAACACGTTGAGAAGCAAAATCTTTTGGCAGGGCCTGCCGAGCCAGGCAAAGAGTCAATAAATCGTGTGTCCACGTTGGCTGGTTCGTTATTCATCCCTCCCTGATCGCTCCTAGTCAATATTCAGCGAGGACATTAACTCCTCAACCCTAAATTGAAAAAATAATAGTGCGTTAATAATCAGGGAATATCGAAGGACCTTGTCAGCTAGGCACGAATGTTTACACTGGCACGCACGTGATATCTATGTCCTGGAAGGCCACACCCAGCCAGGCGACCACCAGGCAGTAGTGCTGGAAGAGCTGCAGCAGAAGTTCACCCTCGTCGAGCATCTCCAGTCGCTCGATGCGCTGCCTCTCGGCCGCCGAGATGCTCTCGTACACCTGCACCATGTCCCAGGCACGGGCGCCAGTCCACCCGCTGTCCTTAAAGCGGTTTCTCTGGGTGTCCAGCGACAGGCAGGACTCCACGCCAGCCAGACTACAGCCGCGTCCGCGCAGATTGTTCAGCATCACATCGCCGAACCGGTCGTTCATGTTAACCTGTATCAAATAAAGATAATGTTAATTGTATCCCATGTTAATGAGAATCCAAGAGGACTCCGCTGCTAACCTGCTCATAGTTAACGAAGACGGCGGCCTGGAACTTTTGCGCAATCCACTTCAGCAAATTGCGGCAATTCTGCGCTTCGATGTAGACGAGCACGCACTCGGCAAGGAAAATGGTGGGTAGAGAGTAGTCCACTTCGGCCTGCTGCAGCTTATTGTCCACGTCGTCGAGGTTACGCAGGTCGACGCCCATCAGATGATAGCTGGGCCCATGGAGATCCGTCGGACTAAGCCGCACCTCGCCGTCCTCGTCGTGAATCTTGGCCAGGAGCGCCTTGTTCCGCTTGATTGTGTAGCACTTGCGGGCGGTGACAGTGGGGAAGTCCAGCTCGATGAAGTTCTTCACCTGGTGGGCGGTGTCCCTGAGCCGAAAGTAGAGTGTGTCGAAACCGCAGCCCAAATTAATGATCTGGCAGTTGCCCGAGGTTTTCTGTGGGCGATAACAGAGATGTGAGGTATATTGGTTAGAGCAAGGTCATTCCGGTCCAGGACATGCGCATGGCGGACCTGGCCTTGGCAGCAATGCAACAGGATGACCTTGGCACGTGCCAGACAGTTTGGAGTCGCCGTGGTACCGACCTTTAGAAACTTCTCGACGCACATCTCGACGCCCTTGACGCGGGCGAAGTAGCCGCGATTGATCTCCGGCGCCTTGCGCTCCTGGTTGCGTACAAAGTACCCGATGTAGTCGTCCTTCCAGTAGCCCAGGCGCACCGCGCACCGCTTGCAATCGCTGGCATCGTCGTTGGTGGCTATCACTGCCTCATCGCACGGATGGAACTTGTGCGTCGGACCGGCGGACGCCATTCCGCCCGGCGGTGGCGGCTCCATTGTTCTCCGGCGGATGTGTTCGGTTACTTCCGGTTGGACTTTATTTACAAACAGATCCTGCTGCGTCCAGGAGTCCCAGAATATCCTTGTTTCTCTTGCCGATTTTTTTTTCTTCCCAAAATCAGCTGCAGAGGTTGATAAACGATAACAGTGTACAGTATTGGTCAGCAATAAACTCAGTTTCGATTAAACACGTATCGATAGCTCGATTGTCGAAAGGTTGGCGCCTATATTTGAAATTTAAATCTCAAGAGGCATAAGAAACATTAAAAAAAGGAAACATAATTAAGTGGCCGTTGTCGGACATAACTTAAAATAATTTCCATTTAGGTAAAGAAGCTAATTTTCTGGAGCCATAAACTACAAATTTAAACAAACAAAATTGATATTTTACTGGCTATGATTTCCGCTGGTTATAACTTTAAAAGTATCTTGTAACTTACATGCTACTTGGTGTCTTTCTTTAACTGCAGTTTTTCTTTAACCTAATTGACTTAAGCACTTCATTAATAAAGAAAGGGTCAACATTGTAAACAAAGCGTGTCCATGCTCAAGTGCTTTAATTGCTTCCCGCATCTTTGACATCGGAAGCTCTCCACCGCCGATGTCTTGGGCTATAATTAAAATTAGCAGCTACGCCCAACAACCCGCTCAATAAGTCGGGGTCAAAATGTGAGCTGATCGCCAATTGCCTTTGCGCTTCGGGGCTCAAATGCGTGAATCACGACCTATACCCATAGTCTGGTCTACGTCCCATATAATAGAATTCAATTAGAAATTATGCAAAATGTGTTTTTCCTTTTTGTCATGCAAAGATCACTCATTACTACGTTATCTGCAGCGGATGACGAAACCGGAATGGTAATCTTTATTTGACGAGACTTTAATTAATCGGAGCAATATGTCAAAATCGCATTAGAAGAAGAGCGCTCTCCCTACAAAATCTAAATACTGTTAGAATATCATTTCAAGGTAGCGAAACATATTTCCTTTTTTGTTGTATTTTATAAAAATTAAATATAAATACTTATCAGTTCTAAAATAATTATAAGAAAATTAAATCGTACCCACAAAACAAAATTATTCCCACCTTATTAATACTTAAAATATTTGTGGTAAATAAAGATGGTATAATTGTGTAGTGCAATGAATTACAAATATACCTACTTATTTTTTAACTATAAATATAAATATACAATAACTCTTTTTCCAATCTTTGGATTACTTTTGGAGCCCCTATGATAAAAGAACAGCTCGATCTGTTACCCCAGATCCACCCCTGTGGTATGGGCACCCACGCTCCCGCTCAGCTGACTGGAGTTCTCAGTCTCTTCGTTGGCCAAGTTCGATTCGGGTTTTGTTTTGTGCCTCAGTTGAGTTTCAGCGTTCGAGAGCGTCGGTCGTTGGTTGATGGTTGTCGGTTGCGTTGTCGCGTTATTGCGTTCACAGGTGAGAGCCAAAAGAAGGCAGAGGAGCGTTCAAAGCTGCGCGCGCTCAATACAATCAAAGAATCGGTTGGGCCAAGTGTGTCCGTGTGAATCGTTGGTAACAACAGCCGGCACCTGAGTGTGAGTGTTAACTCAGTTTGGTTCTGTGGTGTGCGTGAGCCGTCTTTTTGACGGCATTATACGCTTACATTTTTACCTGGCTTACCTGAGTCTCTGCCTCCGACTCGAAAACGGTCATTTCAGCTGCGTTACGTTTTTTCTCGTTTTCAGTGGTTTTCGGCTGTTAGCAGTGCGGATTGTTTTTATGTTACCATTTTCGGGGCGTTGGCCAAGAAAGTTATTGTGAGTGAAAAAACAAGATTGAAACAGAAATGCGAATGGTAATGGTTGGAAAATCGCGATTAGATAGTGAAATGACGGCTAGAAGCCGCAACAAGTTGCCACGGCAACGTCATCAATTGGAGCATAACTGTAAAAACAGTGAGATTAAGACACCGAAAGAAATGGTTGCGGTTAATTGTACTTCCTACAAAACTGTTCAAAATATCAGGAAATTAACGCACCTTATAAACAAACTCTTCAGCCAATAAAAATTAAAAGAATAAAAATAAATAAAGGATATAACATCAGTTAACATTTCTAGTTAACTATTTAGCATTTCAATAATAAAAATCAAACAGAGTTAGAAATTGCGAAGAAATATTCCTATAAAACACTGTGTAGTGAGCCAAAAAATGTTTTTTTTCTGTGCATTGGTAGCAACAACACCTGTGTACTGGGCCAACACACAGATACACACAGTCATAGAGATACGCACACACACAGGCGCACCTGCGCTTCACTTTCAGCGTTATCGTTGCGTTTTATTGTTTGCTTTAGTGATTGCGAAAAAAGCAAAGCTTCTACAAATGATTCATCCACGAACAATAACAAAATGCTAACAAAATTTCGACACGAAATTCGATATAAAGTTCCCATCCAGTTTTGTTTTAATAACGAGCTCGGCATATTTTTTGTGCAGGCGTTTGCACTTCCGTAATTTTAATGGGAACCCTTCGAGGGTTGAGACACCGAATAGCCGTGTAACTTGAGGCTTCAGCAAGCAGGTTAATGCACCCGTATCTGTGTGAGTCCTTGTGCCAGTTTTATTACAACACCAGTCAAAGCAATATAGCCAATGAGACCTTGATCTTAAACAGTATAAACTTCTTATTCAAGATGGCAGTAGTTTTCTGGCAATGCAAGATTTACTTATCTTCTAGTTCTCAAAAAATGTTACTACAAAAATAGTTAACTTCTTTAATTTAACAAATAACAGTACAAAAATATAATAAAATAATAAAATTTGTTATTTTATAACAATAACAAAATAAATAAAACATTTTTTAAGTCTGAAAAGTTTGGAAAATATAAAATAGTACTTCTAATGAAACATCCCTAATTTGTTGCCCCAGGCTGTATGCAAATGCAACCAGGGTAACGACATTAATGTTGCATCGATACTACTGCATTGCCAATCAAATGCCAATAGCGAAATTCAAATTCAACCGCCAGGTGTTTCTGTTTCCTCACATTTTCTTTTATTGCATTTTCACACGTACTTAAGGGGTTGGTTTTGGCCGGAAATACCTGTCACCCATATATAATTAAGTGAATTTTCAGTTATTACATATCGCTTTTATCAATAGGCGATTGATGACTAAAAAATGTATTCTATTTGAGCGCAATTAGTTGAGTTTTTTACTGGCATTCTTTTTACTATTTATTTTTATTGGTAGATACGCTTTCTAGGGGATTTCTGGAACACAAAATGATTTTTTTTAAATATTTAAAATTACCAAACAAAAAAAAAACATTTCAATCATTTGAACAAAAATATATAAATTTAGGTCCCATTTTTTAAACAATTAACTTTTCATCCTTTTTTTCTTCAAACCATTTGCGACACACCGTTTCCCCAGCTTAAACCAAATTAAAGCGATGACCTTTCTCCATTATCGGTGCAATTAACCCATTGACGCCGATGCAGGCGCCCCAGACAAAGCACGTAATCGTCGGTATAAGAGGCCTCTTTCATTCGGCCAACTCCCCATCAAAGTGCCTCCACATCGGAGTCGCACTTTATGCTGTAACTTATTTTTAGCGCATTTTTTCGAGTCAGCGTTCAAACGGGTTTCTCGGTCTCTCGGATTTTTTTCTAATGCCGGAGTGCCAAGAAAATTGAGCCAACAACGTAATGGAAAACCTGTTTGGTCACTCTTACTGACACTCCGATCCGAGATTTGTTTTTATTCTGTTTGTTTATACCTTTATGGAGTTGAAGATTTTTTTTCATAAGCTGACCGTAAAAGTGATCTAAAACAATTTTGTGTGCTTTAAAAGGATAATGGTATACTTCTCAAATTTTGATGTTTCAACAAATTGTTTTCAAGGTTCTTTATTAAGAATATATATTATTAAGAAGAGTGGGATACAAAATGAATAGTTTTTTCTTTGTGTTAATAACTTAAGTCGAATTATTTTCCAGACAACCATGATGCACAAACTGAAATATCGAGACAAATTAAAATGGCTTTCAGCCATTTCCCTGATAATCTGCACCTGTTTTATACAAACCGATGCACAGACGAGGGATCCTAGATTTTATTCCCGCCCAGGCGTTGACTATCATTGGCCAAATCCGGGGGATCCAGACTACAGGTGAGTCATCAACTCAGTTCTGTTCTCAACGTTCTCATTCACGTTTCGGAATTTCAGAACTTATACGTTCAACGATCGCCGATATGGCCATTATCAGCCAAATGGTTTTGGAGCCAACTATCCTGGCAGAAATCCACCGGGACAATATCCCCAGGGAATGCCGAACGAGGATCGTTTTCGATTTGATCCGGTAAGCAAATAGCTTTTTTATTAAAACCCAACAAAATAAAATGAAAATATTAATGCAAAACAAACTATGTTCATACATTCAACAATCTTCAACGAATTCTTGTTAAAGGAACTAACCCTCTCCTCCATTTTATAAACTCAATATTGTATTAGTATGGTTAAAAATCAGAATTTTAATAAAATTGGAGTTATCCAATATCCAATCAAACTATGAAAAATTATCCACATTGCTTTTGAGCTCTCAACCCGCTCTTAATCAATTAAATTCTGTGACACAAAAAACTGACCCCTATGCCAAATAAACCGAACAAAGACGATCCATAAATGAACAATGCCGAGTCATTGAAAGAGGGAGTTCGTCCGATCAGCAGATCGTTCCAATATCAAACTAATAATCTTAATTGAGTTTTCATGCGAGCGAGTGAAGCCAAAGGCGACTTAATCAATTACACATGTCGCCCATTCACAAATCGGCTCATAGTTTCTATTTGTACAATGAAACCATGTGAAATGATGTGCTGAATTTCTTATTTTCTAATCACAGAACGATCCCAATGCACGGACCCAGTTTCCCGGAGTTTTAGCCGGATGGCGAGAGGATTTGCAGGGAAAACAGCGCCGGGATTCCTTGACCTTGGAGCGGGATGTTTTCGTTACCACAAACTATGGCCAAGTGCAGGGCTTCAAGGTGTACATGTACGACAATCCCGATCCCAAGTCCTTCTACCGTCCCTATCACTCCACGGTGGATCGTGTGATGGGCGAGTGCTCGGTTTTCCTGGGAATCCCTTACGCCCTGCCGCCCACTTTCGAGGGCAGGTTCAAGCCACCGCGACTCCATCGAGGATGGCAGCTCCTGCAGGCCGTCGATTTTGGACCCGCCTGTCCGCAACCTGTTCGCTATACGGGAGCCACCAAGGGAGTGATGGACATGGACGAGGATTGCCTCTACTTGAACGTATACTCACCCAAGGTAAGGAGAAAATATCCAACAAACATTTAACATAAAATTATATTCCATATTACCAAAATTTATATGAAAGCAATATTTATATAGTTTAATATCTGCATTTTACAGAAATGATTCATTTCATTTCACCAAAAATGAGTTAGAAATTCAAAAACTAGATTTGTTTTACACACCAGATTTTTTTTTTTCAAAATAATATATTGCACATTTCTGACACAAAAAACTGATTAATATTTTTTAAAGAAGAACAGCTTTAAATGGTTTAGTCACAATATTTAAATTATATTTAACTTATTCAACCTTATATTATTTTATAGACTGGAGCAGGCGTGGCCCAAAAATACCCGGTGATGGTGTACATCCACGGAGGAGAGTTCATCCGCGGAGCCTCCAACTTGTTCCAGGGGCATGTGCTCGCCTCCTTCTACGACGTGGTGGTGGTGACTCTAAACTATCGCCTGGGAGCCTTGGGATTCCTGTCCACGGGCGATGAGAACTCCCCGGGAAACTATGGGATTCTGGATCAGGCGATGGCCTTGCGTTGGGTCCACGACAACATCGAGTTCTTCAACGGCGATCGGGACTCGATTACTCTATTTGGTCCTGGAGCTGGAGGCGCATCCGCAGGACTCCTGATGGTGGCTCCGCAAACGAAGAATATCGTGAGGAGGGTGATTGCCCAATCGGGATCGGCTCTGGCGGATTGGGCTCTGATCCAGGACAAGTATCGTGCTCAGAACACAAGTCGCGTTTTGGGTCAGCTATTGGGTTGCTCCATTGAGTCTTCATGGAAACTGGTGAACTGCCTGCGAACTGGACGCAGTTTCTATGAGCTGGGAAACGCAGAATTCGCTCCCCAAGTGGGCAGCTTTCCCTGGGGTCCCGTTTTGGATCACAATTTCACTTTGCCTGGTGATGATTGGTACGAGGGATGGCGCGAAAAGGACTGGCGTTTCCTCACCCAAACCCCGGAAACCCTCATTCGAGCTGGGAAATTCAACAGGAATCTGCAGTACATGACAGGAGTTACCACGCAGGAAGCGGCCTTCTTCGTGGCCCAAAATCAATCGTTGAGTCCGTATTACGAACTGGATGGAAAGTTCTTCGATCAGAAGATTCGCGAGCACGTTTTCCGGTACAACTACACCCTGAATCCGAATGGAGTTTACGAGGCCATCAAGTACATGTACACCTTCTGGCCGGATCCCAATAACAACACTATTATCCGCGATCAGTACATCAATATGCTGAGTGATCTCTACTACCGAGCTCCGGTGGATCAGATGGTTAAGTTGATGCTGGACAAAAAGATTCCGGTCTACATGTACGTACTGAATACCACGGTGGAGGCACTGAATCTGCCGCAGTGGAGGAAGTACCCACATGACACCGAGAGGTACTTCCTCACGGGAGCGCCTTTCCTGGACACCGAGTTTTTTCCCAAGAAGGATCACCTTCAGCGGAACATGTGGACGGACAACGATCGCAACATGAGCCACTTCTTCATGCAGACTTACTCGAATTTCGCAAGATATGGGTAAGTCCTTCTAATTATTTTTTTTTTTTTTTTTACTTATTTTTTTATTTATTTTTTATTCCAGTAATCCCACACCCCAACAGGTGCTGGGAATGCACTTCCAACGAGCTTATCCGGGAGAGATTCGCTACCTGAACATCAACACCACCTTCAACTCCTCCATTCTGCTCAACTATCGGCAAACGGAGTGTGCCTTTTGGACACAGTACCTGCCCACTGTGATCGGGGTGCTGGTGCCCACGTATCCTCCAACCACGGAGTACTGGTGGGAGCCCAAGGAGCCGCTGCAGATTGCCTTTTGGAGCATGTCGGTGACCTGTTTCTTCCTCATCGTTTTGGTGGTCATCTGCTGCATCATGTGGCGCAATGCCAAGCGGTAAGTCTTTATTAAAAGTAATTCCCTAAAGTAATCTAATAATTGAATTCTTAAACCTTAGTCAATCAGATCGCTTTTATGATGAGGATGTGTTCATCAATGGTGATGGGTTGGAACCGGAACCGGATACTCGGGGAGTGGACAATGCCCATATGGTGACCAACCATCATGCACTTCGATCCAGGGATAATATCTACGAATACAGGGATTCACCTTCAACGAAAACTCTGGCCAGCAAGGCACAAACGGATACCACCTCCTTGCGGTCACCCAGTTCCCTGGCTATGACCCAGAAATCCAGCAGCCAGGCGTCCCTAAAGTCAGGCATTTCCCTGAAGGAAACCAATGGTCATCTGGTGAAACCTACAGAACGGGCAGCCACTCCGCGTTCCCATCCAAATGGAAATGCATCTGCGACAAAAGTTTCGGCCCCCGTAGAAGAAAAGCGATTGCTGCAACCGATTTCCAGCACTCCGGTTACTCAATTACAAGCGGAACCAGCCAAAAGAGTTCCAACCGCGTCCAGTGTTTCGGGGAGCAGTCGGAGCACCACGCCAGTGCCCTCCGCCCGGAGCACCACCCAAACCCACACCACCACGGCCACGTTGAGTTCCCAGCCAGCGGCACAACCCAGGAGAACCCAACTGGTGGAGGGAGTCCCTCAGACTTCCGTCTAAGTAACCGCTCTCTAAGCGCGGGATGTGCTTAGAGAGTCAGCCAAATCGTCCAATTTGAGAACCCGTCGATGATCCAGGAGGGAAAATACCAGGTAGGATCTCCCTTCTATATATTGTATCCCCTGCATCTGAAGTAGAACTAAACATATTTCTTTTATTTACAGTCCTTCCTGGGATTTCCATAATGTTAAGTTAGTTATTTTGCGAAAAAAACTAAGTTTAATTTTGTATTTATAATTCGTTTTTAGACAGATCTTTGAGATCTCAGTTTTGAGTTGTAGCTTAGGAAAGCCTTTATTCGTAACACCTTAATCTTAGTTAAACTGTTCGTAAGTTCGATAACCCAACGAATACAAATCCATATCAATGACATTCCATAGCCTTTTAAGCGGCCTTTAAGTGTACATATACAATATCGTAAAATATTTGTATATTAGAATAGGTATACAAAATAATTGTTCTGCTAAACTTTTAAGAGATTAGCTAGATTGAACAAGAATTTTAAGCAAATAGACAATATGTGTGTTCTCTCTTCAATTAAGAACAAATTTTTTAACAAATTAAGAACTCAAAAAAGTGTCAGTTATATCGAATGAAATTTTAAGGAGAACTACATTAAAAAAAATTTTACAAATTATCAAATTAATAAAAATAAAACAAGTAACTAAATAAATTATTTAACAAACTGTATTATTTAATACATAATTCACCCATATCAATGTACCGTCCCTTACCATTAAGATTATCATGTAAAACATTAGATTTTAGCCACTCGCACATCATCAAGAGCAATACCTAAAGTGCCTTCATCTCTTGTAATTGTCTTCAATGGACCCAAACTTAGTTTTTAATTAATCACCCATATATCGACTAAGTGTGCCTTTCATATATACATATAGATGTACGTTTAGTTATATATTTTGTATATGTTTTATGTGTCGCATATAATAATGACCATACAAATTCAGTGTGAACCGTCCAATAACTTTATGTTTTCATACGTATCGTGTACATTTTTATTTTTTGTATATACCATTATTTGTTACATGATTGAAAGCATAACGTATTACCACTTTATATGTTTTTATGTATTCTAGGTTAGTGTAATGTGTACGTCCAGAAATAAATTATTAATAATGTACTCAATGTTGTTTGTGGTGGTTTAAAGCGCATTTATTTTTCATGGATATTTACTTTTCAGATGAAAGTTTAATAAAAATTAATGAACAAAAATAGTTTTGTAAATAAGTTCTGGTGATCTAAGGGTCTCATTTATTGTATCCATCTTGGTTGTCGTATAAACATTGAAAATATACAGAGAAGTATCGGCTTCATTAAGTCTGTACTTAGACTGTCTTAATTTAAGATTAGTTTCAAGTTTGGAGAAGCTTAAAAACATCAATTCATTTCCAAATATCAAGCAAAAAATTGTCTTGATAGAGATTGGAAAAACGAATTCCGAATCAAACAAATTTGATTGAAATTGAACTGGAAGTAAGGCCTTAAAATAGCTTGTTCTTAACTCCTATAGATACAACGAAGCGGCAAAGACAATGTCGCGCTTGAGCAGCCGAATTCCCTCGGAGAACTTGTTTTCCAGGTCCGTGTTGCCGATCGTTTTGGAGGCCTGGCACATTTGGCGCAGCAGTTCCTCCAAACGACGCATACACCGAATGATGGAGCCCTCGAAAATGTCCGTCATCTTGCAGACGGCCAAAAAACTGGATCCCTTGCACCAGGCCAGCACCACATCCATGAGGAAGGGCTTAAACTTGTCCACATACGAGTCGGCATCCAGATCCAGTTTGCATTCCGTGGAAACCTTGGCGATGCGCCGCGCCAAATCCTGCATGGAACGCAGAGGTCCCGACAATTCCGTGGCACTTTTCGGTGACTCACTGGACTTCTCATCGCAAACGAAGCAGGAGAGAAGGGCCACAGCCTGCGGGGCGCTTAACTCGTTGAACACTCCGTTGAAGATCATCTCGGTCATGAGAAGTTCGTCTGCCGAACTGAGTTCGCAGGCCACGCGACCCTTGAACTCGATGACATCGCCCGGTTTGCAGTAACCCATTCGACGAAGCACTCGCTTGCGGTGTTTCAGCTCCTCCATTTGCAGCAGACTGCGAGCCGCCTTCAGTTCGGCCTTCAGGTCCTGGAGTTCCGTCTGCAACTGCACTTTATCCTGATAGCGACGATGGATGCGCTCCAACTCCGGCGATTTGTGCAGCGGATGCTCCTCCAGTCGCTTTTCGAACTGCGAAATGGTGTCGACTACTTCGCGGAACTCTCGATCCTTGATGTTCATGTCATCGATGGGATTGAGAACCGGTGGCCCAAGCGGAAACCGTTTCTTGGCCTCCTGAATGGTTTTGAGCACAGCTCTCCGATTGTCCGCACTTCGCAGATCGTTGGGGAAGTAAACGCGGATCGAACTGATTTGGGTGATGAGCGTGTGGGCCACTGGGACCACCTCCATGCATCCTCGCTCGTTCGGCTTGCAGGGCTCCGTATCACCGGATTTAGCAGCCGCTTCACTCACATGGAGCAGTACATCGATAGTTACGCTGGGTTCAGTTTTCAGCGGATTCTTGCGACTCTGGTCCTGCTTCTTGAAGTTCAGCACAATGCCCCAATCGTATTCCTGTGAACCAGCAGCCACCTTAACCAGTCTGCCTGGCTGCAGGAAGGGCAGCAGATATTGAGGCTTCGTTATCCACTTGCGGAACTCCTTGCCATGTTGATCCAGCTGGGAGCGAATGTGGTGGTATGAGGCAATGTTGTGCTCGTCTTTGATGCTCAGTTTGTTCAGTTCCAGTGTCTTTTGTTCGACTTGGTCATGAAGACCGGGCAGAGCAGCCTGGTTCTGGAACTGGTAGAAACTGCGCTCCAGCATGTACTCCGGATTGATTTCCTCCACGCGCAGCAGATTGAGAACCATATTGTAGGTAAGATGGAAAGCAGAGTTGATGGGATCCGCCTTGCCCTGCACAATGTCGCGACCCACGGCTGGTGAAACCTTTTCATCGATCATAAGGATAACGATACCCTTGTCATCCAATCCACGACGGCCAGCACGACCAGCCATTTGGATATACTCGCCGGAACTGATCCACCGGAAGTCCTTTCCATCGAATTTCCTTGGGGCTGTGAACAGCACCGTTCTCGCCGGCATGTTAAGACCCATGGCAAAGGTTTCGGTGGCGAACAAGGCCTTGATCAGACCTTCGCCGAAGAGGATCTCAATGGTTTCCTTGAGGATGGGCAACAAACCACCGTGATGGATGCCAATTCCACGTCGCAGCAACGGAAGTACATTCTCCACTTGCGGCAAACGGCGATCCTCCTCGGAAAGCACATCCATGGCATTATTAAACACCTCGTCCACCAGCTTCTTTTCGTCTGGCGTGTTGAAGTCCAGTTTCGCCATTTGCATGGCGTAGAGCTCACAATCCTTTTTGCTGAAGGAGAATATAATAACTGGAGCAAAATTGCGCTCCATGATCATTTTAACGATTTTAAAGATGTTCGTTTGTCCGGCGTTTGTGCCTTTAATGCCTCCATTGCGTCCCTTTTGATCTCCCTTGCCAGCCTCACCTAAAAAATAAACAAATAAAAACAGGAACTGGGTTTTATCAGAATAAACTTACCCGCATTTGCTAACACAGCCATGGCAGTGCTGAAGTTTTCCTCCTTAAACTGCCCCTTCTCGTCGACTATGAGATGGATGCCATCGCCTCCGGCTGGGAATATATAATGCTGCAGGGGAGTTGGACGGTAATCGGTGTAAACCACGTGACACGGCTGCTTGTGCAGATGGCAAACCCACTCGGCGAACTGTCGTGCATTGGGAATGGTGGCCGAGAGGAAGACATAGCGCACGTTGTCCGGCAGCAGGATGAGCGTCTCCTCCCAGACGACACCACGTTCCTTGTCGCGCATGTAGTGAATCTCGTCGAAGATCACCCAACCAACCTCACGCATAATCTCGCTGCCGCGATACAGCATGTTCCGCAGAATCTCCGTGGTCATGATCAAACAGGAAGCTGAGGGATTGATGGTCACATCGCCCGTGACCAGACCCACGTCCTTGAACTCATCGGTGAACTCGCGGAACTTCTGGTTGGACAGCGCCTTAATTGGAGTGGTGTAAATGACCCGCTGCTTGGCGGCCAGCGACTTGGCAATGGCGTACTCCGCCACCACGGTCTTGCCAGCTGATGTGTGCGCGGAGACGAGTACACTCTGGCTATTGTCGATGCACAGAATCGCCTGACGCTGGAAGGGATCGAGCACGAAGGGATATTCCTTGGCCGGAATGCCGGTGAACGGTTGCAAAGGGATGTACTCCTGATCGGGATGTGCAGCCACCTCATGTGTGCAGGAGGCGGGTGCCTCCAGCAGGTGGGTCACAATCCTCGTGCGGAGCGCCTCCAGAGCAGCGGAATCATCCACGTCGAGAGTGCGAGTGGGTTCATCATCTTTGTCAATCTCATCCGCCAAATCATCTGTTTCAGTCTGCTTCAGGCGCTTGGTGGGCTCCTCCTCCTCATCCTCCTGATCTTTTTGATCCACTTCTTTTGTGGATTTTTCAGAATCCTTGTCCTGCGCCTGCCGTTTGCTTCCCTTTTTGGAGCCACCGCTTCCCGAGGGCTTTTCCCCCTGGTTAATAACTGGAGGCACTACCTCCTGTGGTGCTTCGTCGAAGCAATCGAAGAGTTCGTCTATATCCATTCCTTATTCCTTTTTATTGCTAATATTTCAGATTATTTATTTTTTGTTCAATGCACGCCGCAAAACATGTGAAAGACCGATAACGATAACGCGATTGGCCTAAACATCGACTTTGCCATCGAACAGTAATGGCACTTAGAGCATATTATCATTATATATAGCTATTTATTTACAGGGCTTTTAATTCAAACAAGGCCCATTCACGTAAATTAAGTCAGATTTCAATGTGACACCCACTTTTCAACGTTTTTAGAAAGATTCTTGTAGAAACTGCAAAAAAAAAATTTTAATTTCAGAATAGTCAATTATTTTGACCCCTTTTCATGTTTAATTTTTCCCACCTTCCGATTTGAAGTCTTCGAAAACTTGGAAGGTCACAAAAGCCAACAGTTTCAGATGGTCGATTTTTCGACATCTGTTTTAAACTTAGTCAATTCCTATGCGATTTAAATATGGTATATCGTATACCTCATCATTCAAAAAGTAGTTACACTGATTGTTTTATTTTGGAGAGTCAATCAGAACTTCGTCACTAGTTCCGGTTCACGAACGAACCAGCTATGTAAAGAGCGGTCACACTGGCCCGCACAGCTGATTTGTTTTTTTCATTGCTGCCCGATTAAATTATACAATTTGTTGGCGTTTTCCGACGTCCTAATCGCAGAGACCAGAAAACAATCGGTGCAACATGGTGGCTGGTGGTGCCTCAGAGACGGGCGGCGTGAAGCCGATGGCCATTGCGGGCCGCATGGTGCGCGAGCGGGAGCGCCTGATTGGCATGCTTCCCGAGGAGCGCGCCTGGCGGAAGCAGTGGCTGAAGGACCAGGAGCTGCACCACGGACCCCGCAAAGTGCCGGCGCTGGAGTTGGAGCTCAACAACCCCATCAAGCGCTTCTATCGCGCGCCCCTGGACAAGGTAGCCAGCATTTTGGAACCCGCTCTGGTGAGTTATAAACATTAAGCATTATGTAATCACCCAGTTTTGGGTTGATTTTTGAGCGAAGGACTTACTCCATCTTGGCTTACAGGGCTTCCAGAGGGCCTTCACCGTGCGCTACTGGACCGGCAAGGCACTCCTCGCCCTCACAGGAATCTACGCCGGCGCTTACTACTTCAAGTACAACCAGAATGTGAGTAAAACAACAAGGAGTCGACAGAAATAAACTGCTGGTAATCAAGGGGATTGCAACTAACAGATGACATGATTCAAGTTTACAAAATCCGTTTCAATGACACTTAACGATTCTACACATTCGCCGCGCGATAAAAATCTCAAAAAAAAAAAAAAAAAGGATCATTATGACTATGTATCCTATAATATTAATGTCTTTAAAGAATAAGTTTAGTTTTTAGTGAAAATGTGGATTCCTAATACTGCTATTTATGAAGTCCGTGAGCCCACAAAAAATCGTTTAAAAAGGCTTCCCATATCGGTGCATTTACCACAACAAAGTACTTCCTTATCATGATAGTTTTTCAATTTTTAATTTGTGTCTGTGTTTGAGAATCTCGTATTAATCCTTTAATTTCACCATTAATTCCAGGATTGGACCCGCAAGGGCGGCTGGCGTGTGATCCGCTCGCGCAAGGCTTGCGTTCCCGGAGATGAGGGCTACCCGAAGGTCTCCGATCGCTCGGCGCCTTCCGATTACGCGGCCCGTGGATTCAAGGAGTCGCCATTGTAGGCGAAACGCTCGCCTTCGAACTGGCTTAGTGATTTTTCTTAAGTTTGAAACGTAAATTAATAATATCAAAACAAAAATCGCAATAAATATGGAAACGAAAACACAGAGAAGGTGATTGAGAGTGGATTGTGGTTTTGCCACCGCTCCGCTGCTGAAGAAGGCGATTTTCTGCTGCGCTCGGCGGATATTCTTTTTTGGCTTTTACGTTGCCGAAAAAGCTGCTTAAGCAGTTTGCCATTGCTCTCAATTCACTGGAAATGTCTATTATCGGTTACTTTCTTTTATTTGCATTTTCGAGCTTGCGAAGAAACCAAGCTGCGGTTTTAACTCCCCGAAAATGAGAATATTTCAAAAGGTGTGGCAATAGAGTCTACTAAAATATATTTATAATGCTTACAAACCGAATAAAAAGAAGGATTTAAATAACCATAACAAATAAATGAATAAGTGCTCACTAAATTAAAAAAAAAAACGAAAACAATAAATATATAAAACCGTTAGAATTCAAATAGATTATAAATTAGTCAAAAAAAACAACTTGGTGTACGCAAAGATCTATTGCTTTTAGATGCGTAACTAAAGTGCGGAAAAAAAATTATTAATCTATCTCTAAATCTGAAACCGCCATAAATCGATCGAACAAAAACCCACCTTGATATAAAGCGGGCTACATTTTAAATTTTAAAAAGTGCGCCAACGTTGATATTTATTTACGTAAAAATAACAGGGTTTCTTAATTTGCAGTTTCAAAAGAAAAAACAAATTTATCTTGAATCGAATTAAATTATTCTTTGTGAAATACAGAAAATTCAAATAAAATCAATTCCTGAAACTATAATAAATCCTGATTTCTAAAAAAGTGCGCGCCAAAAAGTTTTTAAAAATTAAAGTGGAAATACGTTAACAAACCTATTAATTGGATTTGGTTTTTGTTTAAAATGGTTGATTATTCGTTTTTAATGTACACAGTCCCAGCCGTAAAAAATAAACTTGTAAATAACATACAACTTAAATAACAAACGTTTTTAAAAAAAGCGCGAAATAATGAATTTTAAAGTATGTACAACGTGTTTTTTAAATTCCACTGCATAATTGCAGTTAGTTAAAAAAAAAATCCAATTCGATATTAAGAAATGAAGATGAAAGCAAAATATAATGCAATTAATACGAATATGATCACATCGCAAAGGCCAATGTTTTCTGATTCAAAGTGCGCGCCGAAAAAATTTTAAAGTCTTGGTCAAGGACAAGGAGTCAAAAAATTAAAAAAAAGGTTGGTTTTAAAATAAAACAAAGAAGAAATTATTAAAAGGTGAAATTATCTAAAACCAACTAAAATAAAGTTCGTTTACTGCATTTTAAATACTTAAAAAAGGCGCGCTAACCATTGCAATATGTTTACGAGACTGCTAATTCAGTCTGTTTAAATAAAATTGATTAAAAAGTGAATAAATCTAATGAAAATAAAGTGAAAAACAATCATTAAGAGGTAAAATGCGAAAAAACCTAATTTTAATAAATATGTGATCCCCTTATAACAGTGACCCAATTTCAATTCAAATTGCGCGCCCGTTAAAAATCCCGCGACCACGACGGGTGGCAACGCTGCCCCAGATTTTCGCGGTTCTCTTCTTTGGCGTGTGGCCAGAGCTGGTAATTATTCTCTTGTTGTTGCCTTCGCTCTTGCTCTTTTTCGACGCCAGCGATCGCTTCATTCTCGCTCTCTCTCGATTTCTCGATCTCGCCGCACTGCCGATAATTGTGTTTTATTTTCGAGTCGAGTCGCTGAAAAGGCCGAAAAAGTGTGCTTGCGCTTAACCAGAATTTCTGCTGGCCAACGGGGATCGACTCGAATTGGCCTTGACTTGTGTGGGGTTAAGCTGGCCGTGAAAAGGTCCCAAAAATAGAGCCGTTAAGCAACGTGAAAAAGGTGAAAAGACGGAGGTGAAACTGTCTTGCTGGCTGAGTGTGCGTGTGTGTGCAATTTTTTCATCATCATTCCAGTCCGCGTGTGTTTTTTGTGTGTAATCCCCGCGGGAATTTCGGCCCAATCCTGCCCACCAGCAGGTAAGTGATCTTGGCCATTGGGCCATCTAATTTTGGAGCAGGTGCAGGGCTTAAAAGTTCGTGAACTTTACGTTTCTAGCGATCTCCTTTGAACCTTTTTCTTCTAGTGAAAAAAAAAACGTCGACGTCGCTGCCTCACGTTTTTTTTCTCTCTTTTAATTGCCCCCTCTCTCTCTTCGCCATCTCTTTTGGCGCTCTCTAACTGCGCGCGCAGCTGTCATCGCTGTCAGCAGCGCGCGCCGACGTCGGATTCCCGCGCGCGGGAAATAGTCAACTTCAATCGTTTTTATTTCCCCCGAATCAAACGGGATTTTTGTTTTTATTTCGAAATCAGATTCTGGGAGTTTTTAGCTTTCCTCTGGTTATAAATTACCCAGTGTTTTCATTTAGCTTTATGGTCTTATTAGCCTCCAAAGTTGGTGCCAAAAATGATGAAACGTTAATCGATGACAACAACAAAGTGGCAGCGGTTTGTTTGGTTTCAGGGCAGCGTTGCCACCACGTTGCGCTTAAGCCTAGTTGTCAGATGTTTTTGTCTTGTAAATATTTTAAACTTCCTGAAATAGCTTAATAGTTAATGAAGTAAACAACTTAAACCATGCAAGAAGAAAAAAATATTCCTCTGTTAAAATGATATAATTTAACGAAGTATTTTTTGTTATTTAGGTTATTTAAGGACGTTTTAAAAATATTTAAAAAATTTTAAGTTATTGTTTTCTTTAAATAAGCAATGTTTAAAACCCATAGAAAAATGTTTACTTAGAAAATATTAAAAAGTTGACAATATATTTATTGTTTTATCCCAAAATGACCTACAAAATCCGCCCTTCTGGCATCGCTGTCAGCTGTCTTTTTGGCCACCCAGCTGCTTGTCCGCCTAAACCTCCAATTGGATTCCGACTAGCCTGGCGGGACTCCAATTGCAGACTCCATTCAATAAAAATGCGAAGCCTGCCACCAGCGGCTTTTTGGTCCCCTCTCGCTCTCTCCCGCGTGTTCTTTGCGCGGGAGATGCTTTTCCCGTCCCTGTCGCTCTTCTGGAAACACAACAAAGTTGCCCCCTGTGTGTGTGTTGTTGCATTTTTTGGCGCTTCGGATCAGCTTGTTTTGGCGCGTTCCTCTTGCACACTCGCCGCAGTTGCGCGGCCGGCGTCGCAGTCGACGTCGCTGCCTTCGGGCCAGTTCCACCAATTTTTTTCGGTGCTAAAGCGATCACTCTGCTGCCGCCGCTCTGCTGCTCGTGAAGTTTTTTCGTGGCCGGCGTGTGACGACGACGACGACAACGGCGAAAAACTCTCGAAAATCGTTCGATTCCCACATAAAAACAAGT